CCCTAAGTCTCCTCTAGGGATCTGATTTTTATCTTAAAGGCAGACATGCCTATTAACTTTCCTTTTCGTCCCTTTTCAGTGCTTTCTAAGCATCGGCAAGAGCAGCATTTAATGCGCGGGACTGTCTGTCTGCAGGAAAGAACGCTCACTTCCGTGGCCGGGAAGAGGTGTTCCCAGGAGAGCTTTGACAGGGAGTGCTCGTGGATGGTGTGCCCTGACCTTAGAACCCACTCCTCTCCACCCTCCCCCCACCAAGGGAGATGCAACTATTTGCCCCTCTAGCTTATGTCTTTGTGGAGACTCATCCACATTAATCTGAGGACAATGTGATTTTCCTTTCATTTTAGGAATCTTGTAATCTTCAGATTGGGGCAAATGATGCAGAAGTGGGATTCTTCTTGGCCTATAATGCTGTAGTCTTTCTGTCCGCTTGTTGTTCGCCGAATTAGAGATGCTTGTTGGGAAGATCCTTTTGGTCTAGAGCAATGCCTTTGCGGCTGAGGAGTTGGGGGTGTGGGCTGTGACCCAGAAAAGGCCTTTGCAAGTATGGAGGGCAGTGAGGCACCTTGTGACTTGGCAGGGGGTCCGGAGCTCATCTCTCAGCCGTGGACAAAGGTCATGATGGTGGGCTTCTAGCCTCCTTCAATGCAGCAGTGCTGTCAGGTGGTTGTTTGGGCAAAGGGCCTGGGCGAGGTGGTAGGGAACCTGTCGGGGGCGGGAGGGGGGGGGAATTATGTACAACGGGAAGTGCTGAGCTCTTCTGAAAGCTCACTGCTGGAGCTGGTTGTGAATCACTCAGCTTCCCGGGTGTTAGCCCACCACGCGTCTTACGATTCCCACAAACTCCGTGGGTCTCCGTCTCAGCTGGGATACCATTTACCACCTCAGGGTCATGTCGGTTGTGTTATTTACACTTTCTTCCCCATCGACATGGACTTACGATGTTGAATCAAAATGGTATTTGAGGGGAAACCATTTCACATTTTAAAAAATGAATTAAAATTCTACCAAAGTGCATTCTTCCACATTATATTACCGTATAGACGCGATGTTGTAATTCATTATAATAGTTTGGATCTCTGGGAAGATTTTATCTATTTGCTGGTTTGATGAAGACAGCAGATGGCAGATGGAACTGATCAGAAGAAATGTCGAGGGAGAGGTACAGAAAGAACAACAACAGAGGCCATCTTTGCAGGAGAAGAGGCTCAAAGCCCGAGAGGCAACTAGGTATAGGAGTCCGGTGTGTGACTGAGCCGAAGACCATTTAAATACAATATGGCGTCTATAGTCCCATGTGGGCCCTGCATCACTTCTTTTTGTCTCTCATGTGATACACATAAACACCGCTGTTAGAGCTGAAGGAAACTTCAGAGCTATGTCACAGGTCTGTACTGGTCTGGGGTCCGTACAGGGAAAAGAAGCACCTCTAGCTGTTGTGGGCAGAAAGGATTCTGTTGTGGGGAATTATGGGGGGACAGTGGAGTGGGCTTGGGGCTGGGCCTCCGGGAATGATTCCCGGGACTCTTAGCCTCACCCCTGGCCCTTTCTGGAAGGTGGAGGCTCGGGCTGCCCTGGAGAGCCTGCATGGCCACCACCTGGGGTGGGAACGGACAGGGGATGGGGAGGGACAGGGACACATCCTTGGCTGGAATGTGGACTCTGTGACGTCCAGCCCAGCTGCCCCTGCCCCCCTCCCCGCCCCTTGTCCCCTGGGAAGCTGGAAGTTTCCCTTAGAATTCCGTCCACCCTACACACTCCGACTTTTCCAGAAGAGACAGCTCCTGGCAGCCAAGGACAAGCCTCTGAAACGGGTACAGGTGTGAGCCATCAGTGGCTGACACCCGCTTTGGCTGAGGTGGCGGCTCCAGCCCACGAAGGGTCTGGGGGAGGCTCCCTAGCACCTGCACCCTCTGCCAGCAGAAAATCTCCTGTGTGCACCCCCTGCTTTCCCTACACCACAGTGGAACAGCTACATGGGGAAGCCCAGCTCCCACCCAAGCCCTAAATACTAGCGAACCTGAGAACGGGGCGTGTGCCTCTCTAACCTGTGCAGAAAGATCCAGGAAGAACTAGCAAGGCCAGTTCAACACGATCTTTAAGGGGAAGAACTGAGAGATTCTGTGGCTTAGGAAGTCCCTCAGGTGGCCAGGACCCGGGACCCTCCATGTTGGGATCAGTGCCGATATTTAGATGGTTTCCTCCCGGGAGCAGGTGGCAGAGAGGAACTTAGACATCCCAGTGACAATCTCAAATCCCAGTGATTAAGGGAGAAAACCATAGGGGCCTAAATGCTCTCTCTAGTGAGCACAGAAGAGGGTGCTGGAGGTTCGCCACTGCTCTAGAAGTTTCTTTAGTCACACACTGTGTTGAAGAGGGTCTAGATCACCAATGCTAGGTACAGTTAAATATTATAGAGTGTGGTTCCCGACTGAACAGGAGCTTTTTACTTCTTTAAATCTTGTTCTAAATGATGCATCACCTTTGCCTTTTAAATAACAGTAGTAATGGAATGAGTAAGTCATGGCAATTAAAGATAATAGCAGAGGAATACAGTCAATGGGATCCTAATAGGGATGTATGGTGACACGCTAGCTCTGCTTGTGGTGAGCACCAAATAACATACAGACTGGTCGAATGACTAGTTACATGCCTGTAATGTAACATTGTGTGTGTCAACTATACCTCGATAAAAAAAAAAAAAAAACACAAATTCCTAAAACCAAGGAATATTTGAAAGGAAATAGTTGTATTCTTTTTTAAAAATTTTAATGTTTATTTATTTTTGAGAGCGAGCGAGCGTGAATGGGGGAGGGGCAGAGAGAGGGGAAGACACAGAATCCGAAGCAGCTCCAGGCTCCAAGCTGTCAGCACAGAGCCCGACACGGGGCTCCAAGCCATGAACTGCGAGATCATGACCTGAGCTGAAGTCGGATGCTTAACCGACTGAGCGACCCAGGCGCCCCGGAAATAGTTGTATTCTTGATTGCAAAGAGGAAGTGCCCCGAAGGGGCACACTAAGGCATGCTTGTCCAGTTAACCTCTGTGAGCCACACTGCTCGGGACAGGAGGCTGTAATCGGAGGTTGCCTTGTTTGCAGCAGGTGTTGGCCTTGGACACAGGGCTACCCCCAGTGCTGAACCACCAGACGCCAACCAATGAAGCGCAGCCGATGTCCTCGCAGTGTGGGGCCGGGTCCGCGGCTGCCCTGGGCGATCGGGTCGTGGGGTCGCAGGTGGAGAACCCATGTCCTGCTGAGATGTCTTCTTCCTACACGGCCCACGGGTCACCTGGCTCTGCTCATCTCTTCATCTACGGGCGCCGGACAGGGAATTGCCGCAACGCCACCTCCATCCCTGTCCCCGGGGCTGACGTTCTGCCCGCTGAACCCTGTGGTGGGGAGAGGCTGCGCTGTGTGCATGGAGCTCTCTGCTCTTGCATGTCCTGCGGAAGATTTCCGTGAGGACATGCATTCATTCGAACACAGGCCGCCAGAGGGAAGGTAGCAAGTGCGAAGCTGTTTATGAAGGACAGTGCACTCTCAAGGTGGGGCGAGGTGGCTGCTGCCCTGAGGCCGCAGGGGTCTTTTTTGGCAGTGGGGGTCTTGGGCCACGTGATGGAGTCACGTCTACTGGGGGCTCCTGCCAATCATCGGGGGGGGGGGCTTCCTACTGGTCGGGGGGGGGAGTTTTTGACCCTGCAAGGTTTGCACTGCCTTCCCCCCCCCCTCCCCCCGCAGCTGTGGCTCCTGGTCCACCAGCTCCCTGGGGTGTTACAAGCCACAAGGCCGTGATGTTGAAACCCACTAAGTCAGGGTGTTTTACTCTCAGGCTTGTAATGTGTTGCCGGTGTATCCACCCCGCCTCCCAGCTCGTCTAAGCCGCTGCCTACTCCATGGGGGGCCCGCGTGGTCTCCTGGAATTGTGTCCCTTTCTTCCCTCAACTCGAAGAGGATCATCTGTGGAAAGGAGTTATTGATACCTTTACTCTCCGCACTTGGCTGTGGGAAGATTTCAAAGTCCTAAGTATCTGTTACAGGTCTCTTGATACTTCCCGTTATTCTCACGAAGAGCCCCGTGATGGGGAGGCTCGGGGGTGTTGGAAGCCAGGGTTCCAACTGAGCCCTGGTATGGCCTCCTGCTCCCCCCCACCCCGTTTTCTCGCCTGTGAAATGAGGCCATAATCTTGTCCAACAACAACAAGAGACAAGTATCTATTTAAAGGGCCGGGGCAGTGATGTTTGCGACAACAGAGATACTGTGTATCAAAGCGCAGTGAAATGTGCAAAGCATGGCAGATTGTTTCTCAAGAACTTTCTTGAAGCTCTGAGCGAGCAGAGCATCCTCTGGCCCCTCCAGTGTGTCCTGGAATGGGACCGGCGGCCGCACAGTCAGAACCGTTATGGAGAGAGCTTTTAAAAAAGAAGTCTTCTCATTTTCTTGCCTTTTCCCGGGCGAACAGAGCTTTGCTCAGCAGAAGGCCGAGGAGATGCTAATTGCTGGGTTTTCTATTTGAAAGGGAGGTTATTAGGAGAAGTCTCGATTCAGAAACTTCAAGGAGAAATGGGAGGGCGTGGTGAGGGTGGAGGGGGTAGATTGCATTTCCTGTTTGCCTTTCAGACGGTGTTGGAAAACACTCTCCGGAAAACCCACGGGGGAAAAAATTCCAAAATTCATTCTCTTTGCCACCAGGGGCCCAGCCCGAAAGGTGACGAGTGGAAGAGGTGGATTTCTTTTCGGGAGTTGGGGTTTGCGGGAGTCCAGCTCAAGGCTTGTAGGGTGCAGACAACGTTGGGAGGGTGACATCAGCCTGCAGCGAGGGCCAGAAGCAACAAGGCTCAGAGTCTGGTTTTCATTTACAGTTGGGTCAGGCCCGTGGTGGGGAGGGGGAGAGGAGGGGTCGGGAGGAGGGGAGGAGAGGAGGAGGGAAGGAGGAGGGGGAGGAGGAGGAGCTGGAGAAAGCCCTGACTGTATCCCTGGATCGGGTCCAGTTTGGAGCTCAGTCTTCCACTGAGGGCCGCTGAGCTCTCCTGCCCTCCATCCAGCCTCCTGCGAGAACCCTGAGGGGCTTCCTGCTCCGCCGGAGCCCCGCTCCTGCAGAAAGGAAAGCAGACGCAGCGAGCCGGAGAAACATGCATCAGATTCGACCCTAAGTGCACACAGGAGCCCAGGGACACGCACGTCTTCAGGTTCGCTCAGGGTAAGTGCGATTGGTCCTCTGCTTTCCCGAGTCTGTGGGTGAGGAGAAAATGCTTTGAACCTGCTGATCGTTTCTAGGAGGCTCTCGCGTTCACTCCGCTAGAATCCATTTTCTGGACGTGTTCTTGGTCTCTGGAAGATTCTGCTGAGTTGCCTTTCTGGGTTGGTGGCCCCTGGGTTTCTCCAAGTCAGTTAGGGCTGCGGCTTGCCCGAGAGTGTGGGGCTGCCGTCGGGGGGGCGCCGCGGGCTTTCTCTGCCCATCCCACGCCGGGCCGCTGTGGTGATTCTGGCCTCACGGCCGTCTGTTTGACGTCCGCTCCCCTGGCACTCGCTGGGGACCTGCTCTGTTAGCAGACGCACCTTTGTGGGGATTCAAGAGCTACTCTGTTGAATAGCTCTTCGGGGGAGATTCTCTCGGAATTCTCTCAGCTGGGGCTGTCAGACAGGCTTCCCGGCCGGCCTGGCGTGGGCGGGGGCTGGTGGAGCACGTCTGAGGCCTTTGGGGGTGACTTTGGTGCCCAGGCTCAGGGCAAGTCAAGAGGTGGTTCCCCAGCCGGTACCACCAGGCCTTCCTCTTTTTAGGAAGCTGAGGTCACTGTTGGAGTCTTTACCCTCGGGAGTGGCATAAAGGGGCTGCCGAGGTCGGAGGAGGAGAAGGCATTTGGTGTCTGGGCCGTGTGCCCACTGGATAAGGCAGGGCTCCTGGGACCGAGGGCCCGGCCGGTGGTGGGTGCCCACACGCGGTGCAGGGGGCAGAGCCGGGACGCCCCGGGCCTGTTCCTGGCCGGGAGTGCGGGACGTGGGTCCTCTATCACCCACGATGGAAAGTCCTGACAGCTGCCACCCTGCTTGGGGACCTGTTTCAAGAGCCTGCTGTGTTAGAAAGTGGCCCGGGGTGGAAGCATGGGTGCGGGTCCCTGGGAAGACCCGGGGGGCTGCTGGGGGGAGCAGAGAAACAAAAATCACAGCCTGGCCCCGGGAGCAAACTCAGACAGAGGCCGGGCTGGACACCCAGAACAGACGGCCCTGTGTACAGGGGTGGGTCCTGCCCCCGGAGGGAGCATGGGCCGCTGACCCGTGTGAGCCCCCTTCTTGCCCTGCACACGGCTATCCCCACACGAGAGCTGTAGGGTCCGAGAGCTGCAAAGGGGCTCGGAGCTCATGTGGGAGGATTCTTCCCGACCCAGCATCCCCCAGCCCCCCAGGGCATCTGTTCTTAACACTTTACAAACCTGAACAGAAATAGCTTTAAAAATCAAATATTCTTTGTCCCTAACCAATGTTCTGTTAAAAAGCAGTTGGCTGTTGGACAAGGTCAGAACTTCTGCGCTCTTTGCTGGGCGAGAGGTAAGGGCAGAGATTCTTGGTTGGAAGCCCCTTGAGGTGTGGCTCCGTGGTTTTAAAGACGCAGATTTGGGGGGGGGGGCGCGGGGCTCAAATACTCACAGAGACCACAGAGCCAGTAGGTGGCCGAGATGGTAGTAAAACCATCACCATTTCAGGAAAGCAGGCGCCCTAGCAGTGGAGGAGCCCAAACTGACTCACATCCCCCGACGTTAGTGTCCTTCTGTCCCGTTCTGCTCTAAGTAACGGGAAAATTGGTCCAGGCCCCCCGGCTCTCCCAGCCCAGCGGATGGAGATGGACGTGCCAGGAGCTGGCAGGCAGGCGGGGACGTTAGCTGCAGAATCTGAGAGCTGAGCAGGCCTCCTTCCTTCAGGTCACCTCTGGGGTTGGGGCCATGAGGGGCGGGAGCTGTATTTTACTTCGTTCTTAATGTAGGCTTGTTGCTGAGGGTGAAGAACAGGGGTGGGGAGGTGAGGGGCTTTCTGTAGGGACTCAACCTAAAGGAACGGCCATGTGATCTTGACCGTCTTTGTTGAGGCAAGGGGTCGTCGTTACCAGGAGGCTGAGCATTCTCACTCCCTACTCCGGCACCGAGAAAGCTGTCAAGGAGACACTGGGTGGAGCCCGGGACCTGGAGGGAATGGAGCCCCGCAGGTGGAGAAGCCTGGTCACCCTGCCTTTTTCCTATGGCGGAATTGGAGGGTGTGGCCACCCCGCCTTCCTGGGAAGCGGCCGGGGAAACGTCTAGATGGTTAGCCCTTGGCCCCGGCATCTTCCTTGCCCCACCCCCATGTCTTGGCTCTCCGCTGACGCATCTATGGCAAATGTCCAAATGAGGGGTCGTAAGGACATTTTTGATATCAATTCTTTCTGACCAGAAAGGTCTTTCTTTCTGCACCTCCCTTTGTAACACAGGGTTCAGGATGCATATATCTCCCTCTGTCCTCGGGAGCGCCGTTTGTTGTTTTTTGTTGCTTAGAAACTTACCCATCCCTGATGATAAAGTAGGGGGAGACGTCCGTAATCGATGATCGGTGATCAATTCCTGTGAGGCTCCCCCTCTGACTGTAGTTTGGGGTTAGGAGGCCCCAGAGGCCACTGCTCTAAGCCAGCTTGAAACCAGTCTTCTGTCCCTTTTGAAAGTCGAGAGAGAATTCCTGCCCTGGGAGCTCGCTCAGCGTGTTTGGACAGCGCGGTGAAGGATGGTCCTTACCAGCAGCCTGCACTGCCGGCCACTTTTATGTGAAATTCCACAGTTAGGGTTTAAAAATCACCAACAAGCCACAACTTCTGCCCTGTGAGACCGTCACGCAAGGCGTGTGGACGGCCTTGGCCCACGGTTTGATTTGACCATTACTTGTTGTCACTGTCCTTTCGGATGAACCTGGCGATCTGTTACCTCTTGGAGAAGAATCCCAGGCTGTTTCCCCATCCGAGGGGGACACGGAGTGGCAGGCGGCTATTGCCCAGCGACCTGCAGGCTGCCAGGGTGACTTCGCCGTGGAAATGGGGGCGGTCAGAACCACACCACTGCTGCCTAGACAGCGAGGGCTGGAGGAGCGACCTGACATTAAAAAGTCATAGTAGTAGCTCTAGCCCAGGAAACGGAAGCCCAATGTGATGTAAATTTTGAAGCAGGAAAGCATTAAAAAGTTCCTGTACATCCAGCCAGCTTTGAGCAAGACAAGGACGATTCTCTTCATCCCCGCCTTTCCAGATATGGTTTCTGTCTTTCCAGTGTAAAAATTCTGGAAGGTTCTCCCACGCTTTACAGAAAAGATGCTCTTGGATCTGAAGCATGGGCAGTGGCTGCCTCACACTTGGCACACACTGCGTCCTGATTTACAAAGGGGAGATTCTCCTCATGATGTTCATCTGTGGAAGAATAATTTTTAACACCTTCTGATCTCCTGGGTCTGTTCTTGGAGGGAGACAAAATTCTGGGTTAGCACATTCACCGGGGTGTAGCCTTTCCTGAAAACGCAGTATGGTTTTCTTTCCTCTAGGGGGCGGTGTATCTTCCCGAGCCCCAGAAAAATCTCCAAGGGTGGGAGTCGTTCAGGGTGGGGTTTTTGGGTTTGCAGGGGTTGACGGACATCTCAACAGGGCTCATGGGTAACTTTATACTGTTTAAACACGTATATTTTTAAATGTGCCCATAGTATCTGAAGTAGATATAAATTTAGAATTTTATTATTTTTTTTTTCTGTGCTCAGGGATTGAAGTGAAATTATGCCTTGAAAACGAGGCATTCTGTACTCTGAAAAGGTTTTCATTACAAGGGCACTAACCATATAAGAACTTATAAAGGAAACGTTTTATGCACATCTCCTAAGAAAAGTTTAAATTAACAGTAAGTTGTTTCAGAACCGAAGTGAATTCGCATATTCATGGCTTGCTGTGTCTGCGTAGAATTTTTGAACCGTAAAGCAGGCAGTAGTAATGTCAAGGTAGTGAACCGATCCAGGGACTCCTGGACTTCTCATTACCAGCCCTTTGCTGCTTTCCCCCAATGGGCGACTTGTTTGAACAAATTTTAAAAAATGCACAGACTACGATAATTATGAATGTCCCATTTTAAATCTTGGTTAATTAAAAAAAAACTATATTGCTGACTTTCAGGCTTATTGTTTACCTGAGCTATCCAGTGTTAGGATTCCGAAGGACAGAATTCCAGCTCCGAGAGAAGGAACCTAACCTTCTATTCTATCCATGTGCTCTATTCATCCAAGCTGGATAAGCCTTGCTCTGCTCATGGCTTGGAGCTTTGGGGTTGGGGGTTACAGGAATGACTGTACATAGACCCTGTCCTCTGACTGGCAAGTATGTGATTTCAATACTTTTAAATATCAAAACATGACTACCTTGGTGGATGCTTTCTCCACACCCTTGACAGTTGAGACGAAGGAATGGGAACACAGAGAGGTGCATTACTGGTTTGAGGTCACACCGCTAGTAGTAAAGCAAAATCAGAATTTCTGGGCTCCTCTGCCCATGGTAGTGCACGCCCATCAGCTGATATCCAGGACTGGGAATATCCAGGGAGTAAAAGTCCTTAGAGAATATTCTAGAGTGTCATGTGAAGAAGGCACTTCTACCCATTGGCCCGTCTTCTATGCAGTAGTGTATTATTACAAGTTTACTGAGCAGAGAAGTAATTATTACTTTAAAAAAATCTGGAAAGAAAAAGGAGAGGAGAAAAGTAAGACAAACATGTAAAGTTCTGCCAAAGCCCTTCCCCAAGGCAAAGTGTTAATCTTTTAGAGGGGTCTGGCTGCGTCTAGTCTAGCATAATCCTGCCGTTCTCCTGAATTCGAAGACTCAGGAAATACCGGGAAACATTTGCGAGTTAGGAGTGGCCTGGGGAAAGCCCAGTAGGAAATAGCTGAATAACATTTCCCTGGTGTGTGCTATACATTTAGTTTTCATGGACCCAGAGCATCGAGAGTTGGCCACAGGACGGAAGAGCTCCTGCGGCAGTTTAATTTGAAAATTAAAAATCGAACAGCAGCTGGAGATGACTCAGGTCTCAAGGGAAGCCATTCCAGGAAACTGGTTTTTCTCTTCTGGAATCTTCATCAGTTGATTCAGCAGCCCAGGGCCAGCAGCCAGAGTGAGCGCCAGCTCAGCTGAGGCTCACAGATTGCCCGACATGC